TTTTTATTATAGGGTTGGGTTGATTGGGTTGGAGCATGGGACACAGAGGACCCACACAGCGCAGATGAGAGGTCCAATATCCCTTCAAGGGATCAATCAACCCTTTGGAGGGCTGTTCAGCCCGTGGGTTCTGCGTGGTGTCATGAGGGCACAGGATTTGCATCTTCCAGACTTTAGACTTGTAGGCTCACTTCCACACCGGGCTAGCTTGGCAAGTCGTTTCGATAGGGATGATAGCTGGGCGCTCATGGGCCCGCCTGCTGTTGGGGTGGGGCTTCTTGGCGTCACGGCGTCACGGTTTTCTTTCATGCAGGTTTTCACAGATCAGCTGTCTTGGGAAGTTGGAAGGGAGCTGAAGTTGGAAGTTGTATGGGGTTGGCTTTTCCATGTTTTTTGTCCACCTTGATTGTTTCAGACAGGGTGGGAGGGGTGTAGCTGATGCTCACTGAAGGTCTGTATTGAAATCAAAGAGACCTCCCGGTCTCACCTCCGCCCGGAACCCATTTAGGTGATCTGGATCTGTTTCAAGATGCTTCAATGTTTCAAGGTCAAGGCCTGGTCTTAGCCGCGGCAGCCGCTGTGACTTCCTTGGCCTGGTTGGCGCTAGCGATGCTGGAGGCCTGGGCCATTCTCCTCCCCGACTCACGTTCAATCAAAGGTGGATGGCCGAGACATGGGAAGGTCCGAGCATGCACTCTGCAGAAACATCGGGATCTTAGCACTTCCATGAGCCACTTGGAGTTTCAGCACCTCCCCTCCCCCCTCCCCCCCCAAATCCAGCAACTTCGTGTGGTGCATGGGGGCCTCCTGCTGGCCCAGGTCTCCTCGTCCACCCTGCTCTGGGCCACGGCCCTGCTGTCCGTGGCCTCAGCGCTGGTGGATGGCCTCACCGACGGCCGCATCGCCGTGGAGTCGGCGGAGTCGGCGGAGTCCGCGGACGCCGCGGCGCAGCTGCAGCGGCTGTGCCAGACGGGGCATAGCTTGGGGGGCCTTGCTCGTGACGTGGCGACAGTGACAGAGTGGGGTGGGGAAACATGGAAAAGAGGTGGCCCCCAAAATGAGGAACACCATCATTTCTTGGTGGGGAGGGATGGACAGATTTATTGTGATTTATTCTTCAAGGATAGTTCAATGTTGCAGGTGGCGTTTGAAACATTTTGAAATGCAATTCGAGCCCGGAAATTGAGAAGACTGGTGCAAGGTGGGCTTTTCTGCTTGGCTCTTCAGCTTTTCGGATTGCTTCACTTTGGCTTTCACTTCCCTCGCCTGGGCATCCATTGCGCCCTTTGCTCTCAGTGCATCTCACACTTCGAGGAAGGTGGCTAAGCACTCGCGGCCCGCACCGACCACGTGGTGGACACCACCGACGCTGGTGGTCTCAGCGCTCAGCTTCGCCGTGTGCGTGGCTCCACCGGCGGATCTCTTCTTGCACCTGGGAAGCATCCGCTGCAAGTGATGACCACTCGAGTGGAAAGCAATGGAAGTGGAACAGTGAAGAGAACCCTGGAAGAAAGATGCTCAAGGCTCCTAACTACAGTGGAATGAAGTGGACCATAGGCCACTGCAAGGCCATGTTTCTCTTAAGTGTTCACGTGGATTTCAACTGCCATGATTCTTTCAGGGCCTGTTATCCCACCAAGGGCGCATGGTAACTTTGGTCATTCACGTCGAAATGTCCTTGGTGAATGAATTGGAGACCTGTTGCCAGTTTTTTTGGGGTTGATGAACGCCCTAAACCATCACTAGATCCCGTCTTCCAAGATGACTTCCAAGATGTTGAGGCAGTTTTCTGGTGATGTTGGTGGCACCTGTTGGGGTTGAATTGTTTGAGCCAACCATAAAGTTATAATTTCTCCACTGGCTCGCACCGGGCAACATGAACCGATTTTCCAGGTATCGCCAACATGTCTTGGGCTTACAAAACTTCCACCAACCTATCGTCTCCATTGCTGGGACCGTTGGCTGGTTCACTTGCACCTTACTCTACCGCAACATCTCTGGCGTCGATCGTGGTGCTGGCGGTGCAGATGCCGCCCATGCGCCCAGTGTGAGCGCTTTACGGCGGTGCTTGAGATGGTGGCCCTTCCCAATGTTGGCCAAGGCACGGAAGGATGTTGGCCTACCAATGTGGTACCTGTCAACACATGGAAACAACAGCTGTTTGATTGATTGAGATATTCATTGCATGGAGTTCTGCTTGCTACTTCCAGAATCTATTACAAAGGGCGTTGCAGAGAGGAGTCGGTGGGAAGGAGAGGGTGGTTCCAGAATGTTTCGATATTCTATTGCTAACTTCAGGATGTTGATGGCACTGTCCTCCCAAAAAGGCCATCACAAGCTGAGGTTCCCATTTTCATGATTAGGGACTGACTGACCATGACTGACCGACATCGGGGGCCTGTCAGCCTTTACCCTCGAGGTCTTCATCCTCCTGGCTCCCTCCACGGCCTTTCAGCTACCACTGGTGCTGCTCGAGAGCGCAGCCCACGAGTTTGGCAAGGCATTGACCTTCCTTCCCGTCGCCCGGGTCGCAGCAAATCCATGGCGCATCGTCGAGTGGCGTGTTTCCTTTACAAACCAGTGGTTTTCAGGGTCCATGGTAGTTTTCGATGGGGTAAGTGGTGGTGGGATATGGTCGTTTTTTGCTGGAAATGTGGCTCGCCCGGAGAGGACCGTGCACGAAAAGCGCTCTGCAAAAAGACACACTGCAAGGTGACGGTTCTGCAGCAACTCCATGCAGTGGAGGGGTCCGAAGGCAGCTGCTTCAGCTTGATGCAAGCTGCAGGGACGCTGGGGATGGTGCTCGGGCGGAACTTGGAATCCTGGCAGGACGAACTCTGGAGCCTTGAGGTTGCTGGAGAGGGAAGATTGAGGGAAGATAGGTTTTCTGGGGTGATGAGGCACCTCTTGGGATCTATGCCGCTGACCTCGTGAAAGAGGTAATACATATATATGTATATGTGTGTGTATACCAATATATATATATATAGATGTCAATTGGGGTCATGTTAAGAGGTGGAGCACAGAAGGAACCAAGAAGCCCAGAGGGTCCAGAGGGTTCAGGAGAATCCGACTTGGATGTAGGTGGAGCCGGGGCCTCATTTCGATCACAATTCAGTTCACCTCCACCATCCTGGCGGGATGGTAGAGGATGTTTCACTAGCATGAGATGCCCAGGCTCTGTCCCTCTCTAAGAGGTTTTCTGGTAGAAGGCGGCGAGCACTCATTCCAGTGTCTCTTTGGAACGCGAATGCTAATTTTGACGCCATTCCAGATGCTCGAGAGGAATACCCATCCAAAGGGTCTCCAACGGACTACCCTAACTTATCTCTGCTTAAATGGAATTGAATTTTGATTGGGGCACCCCGAAAGGAAGGTGCTGGTGCCTGGGTTTGTGAAACCCAAGAGAGTAAGATTTGAACAAGCGGAGCGGTGGAGCTCTCGAGCCCCGAAGGCATGAACGTAAAGCGATGCCCGGTGTGGGTTCTAGTCTAGGGGCATCTAGTGGTATACTGTAACGGTCACGTCATAGGCATAGGTTAAGTTCTTTCTTCTTCAATCCTCGCCATTGCCGTGACCCTTTAAAGGTGTGGATATATGAAATCCTGGTGTGCTTCCCTGATGTTTCTCAGGTGTCCCCATTGACGATCGCATTGGGTTTTGTTGGCACAGAGGATTGAACCTAGGCATCGGCAGGATCTTTGTGTGGATCTCATTTCTGCACACACCCCGAAATCATCATGGAAGATGGAGTGAGTCCGCCACAGCCTGTATATTCATGACCATGGTTATCATTCCGGTGGCCGTCCGCGGTTTCCGGTTCTTTCCAGGGAGTGTAGAACCTTCAGATCCCAGGAATGGCAGCTCCTCTATATCTGCGGAGTGGACCTTGGCCATGGCGCGGAAGGCTTTCGTAACTTCCCTGCACTGCTGCTGGTGGCGCTGCTGTGGCGACTGTTGACGGTTCTGGCGCTGATGAAGCTGTTGATTCCCTTGCTCGAGCGGTCAAAAGGGGCGAGCCAAAATAGAGAGTCCAGGTCGTTGGGAGGATGACTCTCTTTTCAAATTCGCATAGAAAGACTGCCCAGATTCACTCCTTTGCACCCCTTTTTGTTGCGGGGCGGCCCGCTCCGACTCGTAGTAGAGATAGTAGAGGAATGAAGTAGCAAGAAAACCTGAACACTGGCTGATATTGCAACAACACGACTCGACAGGGGCCAACCCAGTTCGTGGCAAACCTTACATCACATCCTTGTAGAGTTTTGTGGATTGGCTTCCTGTCAATTTAGAATAATTAGCTAAAAGAGTTCTCTAACCACTTGCTGGATGAACATGCATGAACTCATGACATCTACCTTTTTTTTAAACCTACTCCATGGAGGTTAACCCATGGAACCCTCCACCTGCTGCAAGCCAATTCGTGAAAAGACTTGTTTGGTGGGATGACGCCAAACCCAGCTTGAAATGGTGGGCCGAACCCTGCCCCAACGAGATAGGATGCTTTAAGAAGCAATCTTGCTTGCTACTCTCCTCTCTTCACATCTTGAGGGGTCCAGAATACATCACACTACTCCATCGCGACGCAGGGTCAGTGGGCAAAGCCACCACACACACATCCCCCAAACCAACGCACCACACGAGATGGTTTGTTGCCTGTTTGTTGCCTTCCATTGGGAAAGGCCGAGGAAGTTGCACTGTGTTTCTCCGATTCCTGGCAGAGTGCTGAAGGATCCGCCCAGAGATCCTCGGATCTCATCCTCCATCTCTCTCAGGATTGGTCAGACCATCCGGAGAGGACCGCGAGCTTCAAGGGTTCTTCTGCGCTCCGCGCGATAGCGTGCAAGCGAAACGGAGGGGCGAGCGCGCGGAGGTTGGACACCTTGGTGACTTTTTCCCAAGCAAGCGCTTTACGCTTGCATCTCGCCCCAATCTTGATCATGTCCTTGCAAACAAAAGGCCTGAGATTGTGAGCCGAAGGGCTCAGTTGGTATGACCGGTGAGTGAGATGGTCATTGCCAGTGTAAGCCACCATCGCTCGTGCACTTTTCTAGCTGATCAACATGGCATGCTGATCCTTGCATGAATCTTGACAAACTGGATTCGAACCAAAGGGCCTCATGGGCTCGAGGATGGTCCAAATGCGCCGTCCAAATGCTGACCTCGACGCGGGCGACGTGTGTTTTGGGGACTGCACCCTGGCTCATGTGAGAATGATCTCTGTAGGGCACGAAGCTCCTTCAGAACTTGGCTCCACTTCCATATGAGTCAGTCGGAGTGTATGATGCTTGTGGCATGCCCCCCTTCCCTCCGCCAGGAACCGGTTTGTCCATCCGTGATGCGGAATTCCGCTCGGGCTCTGTTTGGGGGGCCCAGTCCGAACCGAGCCAGGTCCGGTCAGCTCGTAAGCCCCAGCAGCTGAGGCTGAGATCCCCTTGATTCTCAGCATCAAGAACAGCCAGACAGAGACCACCATGTGAGCCGAATGAGGAGCCAATTTGGATCACTGGCTTGCGGAGTTGGGCGGGTTTCCGATCGCCGCCATGTCACTTCCAGTTCACCATTTTGGTTAGTTCCCTGTGGATGGCGAAGTCGGTGGAAGGTCGACTACCACTGTCCACCGGCCACGTCCTGGCGGGTTCCGGCCGTTCCGGCGCGGCGTTCGGCGTCGTTCCGCCAGGTACGTGCGGAACATCCCCATGTCGGCCGTGCTGGATCGCGGGGGTTTGGAGCAACGCTGGGTCGCCGTGTGTCCGGCATGGCGTGGGATCGCGTGGGGGGGGAGAAGCCCGTGGGAGAAGCCCGGTGCAGGCGACGGGAAGGTGGGGTCAGGTGTGTGTGGTTGGATTCCTTTGAGATGCACCTTCATTTAGCAGCTAGCACGATGTTCCATGAAATCAAGATCATCCAGTTCCCACGCACCTAGTCTCGTCCGAGTTTGATCCACAGGGCAGTGAATCGTTTGGGGTCGGGAGTGTTAACAAGAAGTCCTGGCAGGAGGCTTGGAAGCATCAGGGATCAAAGAAAGATAAGAAGGAAGAAGATGGAAGAAGAAGAAGAAGAAGAAGAGGAAGAAGAAGAAGGAAGAGGTTGAGGAAGAGGAAGAGGCAGAGAGAAAGGTCCGCAAGTTGCAACTCATGACTCATGAGTCACGAGCCTGCTTTATGAGCACTGACACCTTTGTCATTTTATGTTCCTCATTCTGCGCTTTCCTCATTTATTGAGTAAGGAGCACCCCATAATCATAAGATGCCACAAATATCCACAAATCCATACTCACTAGAACTATAGCTGAAAAAATATGCCAATCCGGTTCAAGAAAAGAAAAAGAAGAAGAAGAAGAAGAATACAAATAATCAGAAACAGCAGAAGAAGAATAATAAGAAGAAGATGAGACAATTACTGTATATAAGCTGGATTGATTCCAGGTGCATGATGGCAGAGGAGAAGGATCCAAAAACGTTATACACCCTGAAACAATCAGGGAAGTGGATGGCACGGGCTGCTTGGATGTCCATTTTCCTCATACCAAACTTTACCAGCCAGCTGGTTTTCCACTTCCATGCTAGTTTTCCTCGAAGTCTGCCTCTTGCATCCTCTTCCATCCTATTCCCGCTTTGGGTTGATGTTGCCGCTTCTTCGGAGAATCTACCCCCAAAATGTCTCGACCGCACAAATCGAGCCTGTTACTGCACCCCCCCTGCTTCCTCACATTGAAGATGACTTCTTCCCGTGTTCCACTTTTCTGCGAGCCGAATTCCTCACACTTTCATGGGAGAAGACCTATGTTGACCATCAATTGGCCGTGAGCAGTGTTCACTGTGCTTGATGGACACCATGTAAAACCATCGGACCACCGAAGCCACCATGGTTTCAAAGTTAAAACTAAAACGATATCGAAACGCTATGTTAGATTTCCCATGTACTGTGTGATGTTTGCGCAGTAGTTTCAAATCAGTGCTTCTGCAGACATGCAGCCATTGAGTACAGTAACTTGTGGAGTTGTTGTTCCCTTAAAGTTCATTTTCTGGGCCTAACCTAACCGTTGAAGTTTCCAAAAGTTATGCTCCGAACCTGAACCTAACAACTGTTCAAGTCTCCAAATTTAGGTTCAGAATCTGAACCTGTCACCTTGCAACACAATCTATTAATGCTAAAAGGTTTTTCACCGTTATGTTGCTTTGTTCATTCATATGGAACATATCGCACTGGAGCAATCACCATCAATCACCAAATGTTTTTAACACAATGGTGGAGAGTTTCTGCAAACGAGAACATGTATATGGTAGGTTGCTCTTTTGGTTAGGAGCTCTGTGAAAAAATAGAGCATTGAGTGATTCTCACTTCTCACCCAGCGGTACATTGAGATAATCTGCGCCAGAAACAATCATTAATCCTATAACTAACATTCCAACGAACGGCAGCCAGTCGACGCCAGCATCCGGCCTAAAACTCCCAAGAGACCAAGTAAGGCAGTAAGGCAGCCCACCACACTCCAAAGCCACTCAGAACATCTCGGATCTAATTTTTGCGGGGCAAAGTCGAAGCCTCCCAAAGTCTCAAGTCAACCACATCCAATGGTTTGGGGGCTCAATGTAGGCATATATGGCATTCATGGAGTGTCTGGGTATTGACTCTTTGTGCAAACTAGCTGTGACAATTGGCTTGGCGCGACCTTGTGGCCCACTCAAGTTGAGCATGTGTTTGGATTATTTTTGATTGCTTCCGCGCACTCAACAGGGCCATGCCACGCGGGAAAGACGATGCTCCTGGGCCTTACAAACGGATCCTTCAGGTCTACTACCTCAGCCACGTACAGGGCGAGCCAAGCCCATGGCTCCACACACAACGGTGGGAACCCAATGGGAAGAGGACCTTTCGGTGCAGCTTCACGCCCTCCACCTCGAATCCGACCGGGCTCCAAGTCAACGGCAAAAATGATGGAGATTGGCAGGATGCGTTGGAGGACCTGGAGCTGCAACGGGTGACACAATCTAGAGAAGCGCCCCCTAATATAAGAGGGCAAAATACGTGGCACGTGTTGTGGAGTTCCTGCACAATTTTCTGTCAGTGGTTGCATCTTTTGGGTTTGTGGTGCGTGTTGCAGTAAGCAAGAGAGCTTCACACAAGGTGTGCTACGTTTCCATGGGTCCTTCTAAATTTTGCCCTCCGATGGCTCGCAAAAGGTGTGCTACATTGCTCTAAACTTCCCCCCTTGGGTGGCTCACCTATGCTACGGTTTTTCATGGATCCGTCTCTACATGTTACAATCCAGATGGCTCGCAAAAAGGTATGGATGAAACGGCCGCTTCCTTTTCCAGCCCTGGGATGGCTCTCTGGCTCAGTTTTCGGATTGGCTCCGTCTTAAAACCGTTGGACGGCTCGCGGCTGAGATACGTGACGGATGGCTCCGACTCCCCACCGTCCGGAGGGGTGGTCCGAACTGCTGACTTTGGAGCTAAGCGTTGGGGAGACTTGGCCTTTCAACGGCAAAAAAGAAGGGTGAAATAGGTTAGTTCCACACCTCCAAGAAGTCCTGGCAACTTCTAAAGGTTAACCACTAACCACCTTCTCAAAACATAATGATTGTATTGTACCTCGACCTTGTGCCAAATTGATGTCGGATTAGATCCATAGGTCGATATCGATGTCTATCGATCTATTTGTCGATCTATCTAGATTTACTATATAGTCTGTCTAGTGGCGTATCTGTGGCACCAGACAAGCTGGGATGCAAGAAATGCAGTCCAATGTCGTGTCCGTTGGTTTGCCCCCGGTAGCCCTCGTGTTTTTGCGGCTAGACCGGCCACAAGTGTGCCAGGTCTATCCTCCAGGTGATCCCCTGAACTTGCACTTTGACCCCAATCAGCTCCCTCGCGATGGGTCTCCTCAGGTGGGACTGCCGCGTGGAGTGTGAAAAAAGAGGGTTCCGGGCACCGAACGCGTAAAAGCAAGCGGGATGCAGGAACCTGTTCTGCGGAATCAGCGGTTCTGTTGAATCATATGTATCTTTTAAAAGAGATTAACTAATCAGTTTGTAACTTTTGTAATGGATTTGAGTCCATCAACAGTATGATGAGGCACTTTTTCTATTCGAAGCAACCTGGTCGAAGTTGTCCTTGGAGCATGCGATGGGTTATATATACGGGGGAGGCAACCTGAATTTTGGTTGAATATATATATATATATATTATATAAATTCAATGTTATTCCAATAGAATTTGGGATGAGTGATCCCAAATCCCAGGACTATTTCGGCCAGACTCAGGGCCCTCAGTGGGCCAGTCGAGTCGGGTTTCTTTGGGGGGACGGATGGCACCGGGCCGACACGCGCACGCGCGCGGAACGAACGCGCGCCGGCCGTGACGAGCAGGTCTGCCTCAGCGTGGCGGTGCATGAAGACCTTTTAGCCACGGTGGTCGGCGCGGCCCAGGGGCCCCGGGCGCGGCCTGGGTCCGGTGGGGCGAGGGGTCAAAGTATGTTTCTTTCCGGATCAAGAAACTACTTCCGGAGCAAAAAAGATCAGCATCAAAAACACATTAAAGAAAGAAGGAAGGAAGGAAGGAAGAAAGGAAGGAAAGAGGACAGATCATTCCTGACGCCCGCAGATGCCAAGCTTGAAATGATCTTGTAGCTCGTGCCCCGATCCCCCTCTCCAGCTTTTATTTTCCTTCAAGGACAAGCACCCCTCTTGTCTCACCCCCACACCTTTACGAAGGTAAGGTCATCCAAGTCCCTTTGAATTCTTTACTCTGCTTATCTGTTTGTTCTGCTACACGACTATTTGTCATTCTTTTGGGGAGGGCGCAGTGCCCTCCCCCCAGTCCCCCTCCAGCTGGTGTTTTAACGGCAAGAACAGCCCCTACCTCCCTGACGTTTCATTATTTGTCCTTTGATATTTGCCTTGCTACTGAACGTTTTGCAGACACCACTCTCATCTCATTTCGTCAAAGGTAAGCGCTGCCTACCACGGAAGTTTAGCAGGCGCATCCAAAAGAGAGTTCTTGGGTAAAAATTGTTTGGTTGCGCCCCCGATCCCCCCCTCCAGTCTTTATTTTGTTTCAGGGCCAAGCGCCTCTCGTCTCACCTTCCACGCCCTAGCGAAGGTAGGGTCATCTAAGTCCCTTTGAATTCTTCTCCATTTCTTTTCTTTGCTTGTCTATTTGTTTTGCTGCCCGACTATTTGTCATTCTTTGGGGAGAGGCCCCCTCCAGCTTTTATTTGTACGGCCAAAGCGAACCGCACCTCCCTCATTGCAGCTTGCCGAAAGCTATGTCTATCTGTCCTTCGCTTCTTGGCTTCGATGTTTGCTCTGCTACTGAGCGTTCGACAGACACCAGTCTCATCCAATCTCATCTCATTTCTTCGAAGGTAAACACTGCCTACCACGGAAGTTCAGCAGGCACATCCAAAAGAGAATGCTTCAGAATCCAGGGGCGTCAACAATGACATGCAGAGGGTCAAAAAAAAACATCAGCCGACAACAAAAACATGTTTCTTCCTTGTTTGATAGTACAACCATGGAATATGTTTTTGATACTGCTTAATTTGTTTGATTAATTATTGTTTGTTATTTTTGATCTAAAATTTCTTATGTTGATCCTTTAGTCCAGAAAGTGCCCACCCGTTGGATGAGGAGGCCGGCCTGAAGCTCGTGTTTGAGTTGTAGATGTTGTATGGATGAGGGAACGATTTTTTTGGCCCAGTGAAGGTGGTGTTCAATGAGGTCTTCTTGAAGTCTTTCCAGCTACTCTGGGGTGACAACATAATACCCATGCAATTCTTGTGTTTGGGAATTATTGGCACCGTGGCGAGTGTTTGCATTTCGATTTGCCCTGGCTCAACAAGCAACAAGCTGCAGCCACAAGAACCGCAAGAGCTTTAGTAACTTTTGTATGACTTCACCTACCTCCGGCACAACCATTCTCACCTCAGTACTTGGGCTAAAGCGGGTTAAATGTTTTGTTTTGAGCCATGGCATGTGAAACGGTTATAGAAACAAGAAGGCTGGCCACAAACCACTGATTTTTTTGATCCCTCACCCATGGTAGAACGGAATATCGACCAAGAGAAGTAGGGTGACACTGTTTCCTGACCAACCCACGGTTTTGCACCAACCCACATGGCTCTGAGTCAAGACCCAGAGCTCCGTTGACCTGGGTCCCCCTGTGCCATGACCCACTGCCAAATGAAACCCCCATCCTTCCCAGCTTCCCCTTCAATGTCGTCCATGATTTTGCTCACCAAGGCAAACTTGCCAACGCAAAGCGACTCCAGCGCCTTCAGTAGCTTTCCGCGTTGCCCGGCGCACGAGCGATCTTGGATCATGGGATACTACATTACGTTAAATTTAGGTTTTGACACAACCAACAAGGTATAGAGTGAACGGCGTGCATGAGCATTGTGGAAGGACTTGCCCGCGTAGTTGCTTCATGATGAGTAAAAATGAATTTAAAATTGGCATGTGCTTCAGTAATATAGCTCCTTTGTCATTTGGGCCTAGTATGTTTGTTTGTGCTTCCATCATGCTTCCTTGGCTGATTTTAGGTTGTGTTAAGTAGTTCCTGTGCAGCAGCTTGATGGGAGGGCCACGTTGACCCAGCATGAGATTGGTAAAACCGAGGTAATGGATTGAAGACTTGCAAGGAATGGGGTGATCAAACTTTGTCGACAGCTCTAAACCCGGTGATCCAGAAGACGAAAGGTAAACTGGAATCCGTGCTGTCCTTGAACTTGAGCTCACCTTCCAGCACCATGTTTGTTCCTTTTTTGGCGGGGGTACCGTGGTGGTGATCTTGCGGGGATTTACTTCGTGCTTCCAAGGGATTCCCACGGCAAATGTAGACCTTGTACAACCTAGTCCTACCTGTTCTACCACAAGTCATACATCTGCCCCCATCGCCGAGGTTTCTCCCCCGAAGCACGGCTGAGTGAAGGCGTCGTTGCTTCTGACAAGGCGAGAGTCGAAAGAGGTTGAACATCTTGGGGGTTTGGTCTTTTACAGCCGGGACTTCGGCTTTTCTTCTGGTAATCCTTGAACAATTAGGATATCTACCAGGACCCCCAAGGGTTGGTTACACCCCTGAACAGCTAAGGGGCTACAAATAGACACCCCTTAGGGGATCCTGATAGAGTCATCATTGTTGAGAAAAACAGTGAGAAAGTGCAACACGTGGAGTGGGTGTCCAACCATCTTCCAACATGTTGTCCTTGGTCAGCCGAGGTCATTGGCCCGGGAGAGAGCTACAACATGCTAACTTGACTGTCCTCAGGTGTGCTCTTGGACCCTTCGTCCTTTGATGTCCTTTGGGTTGTGAAAGGGCGGAAGCGCCCTAAACCACTTTCAAGGTCCAACCCTAAGGACCAAGCTGGACAGCCAACCTCAAAACTCCCAAGGATCCGACCGAAAGCGCCCCCTTGGAGAGCTCGCGGGCCGGGCGGGGCGGTTTGCGGGTCCATCTCCGACCGCTCGGCGCGGTCAGGTCGATCAGCTCAGACGCTCCATCAGCTCCTTACAGGTTGGAGGGTCGAACCCAGGAGGATGGTCCGGGTCGCTCGGATCACTCGGGTCCCCGAACAGTTGGGAGTTCGGGGGAGTTGGACGGCCCACGAGCTTCCGATCCAAGAAGAGATGTTTCCCCAGACTTTTCGGGTCAAGCTGAGGGAGTGCTGTTTGGGGGAATTGCATGGAAGTGACGCTTCAAGCAGCGCCACATTCACGCCACATTGCTGTAACATGCTGTAAAACTGCACTAATTACGGACCACCACTGTGACCACCTACAAAGTTCTAGGTGCCCTTTGGGGTGCCGATGAATTTTGGCGGCTTCGGATGCCGTTTTGCCGGCCTGGTCTGAAAAGGCTTCACGGGTTTTTGTAATTTGTTCCTCAAACATTTCCAGGCACTCCATGGGACTGGGACTGGCATATTTACCGACATTGGGGGTGGTTTCAGGCGTCAATGTAGGCGTACATATTATCTCCCATACATCTGATCAGTGTTTGAGATTGGATGTTGGGAGACTTACGGATCATCAGATCCAAAAGACGTCACTTGGACGAAGCCTGTCACGAACAATCCGTATGAGTTTGCCACTGGCCCTGGGGGGACATCGGGCCTTCGTCACCTTAGTTGGATGAAGCAGAATGAGGGACACTGAGAGACGACATGTCGGGAAATCGGCCACCAGCACATATGGACGAAGATTGCACCATCGCCCGGCTTTATTTTGGGGGTGCTGAACTCCAAGTGGTGTTTTACAATAGGTATTGGAATATCCATGAATATCCCACACTCAATAAACAGCAGTTTTTGGTAATCAGTTGCATGCAGTTGCATATTCTAGCAACATGGTCGTTCTTGGCACATTCTTGCAATAAATAAATAAGAAACATGAAGGAACATTGTACCAAGATGGCGGCTTCATTTTCAGCGGTGGAACCGCTTCCTTCCTTGGACCTTCTCGCGTGTTCTTCCAAGAACGCATGCTGTCCGACGGTGCAGGCAGAGATGAAGCTCTCGCAAGAGCGCGAGATCGAGTTTGCCAGCTTGGCCTGGGGATTTTTTTGGGGGACAGCAAGCATAACCCGGTCCAAGTGAGAATACATGATGCAAATGACACTTTTTTGTTCTTCTCCGGGAGGCCCTAGTGAAGTCATACAATTTCAGACCTTTGAGAGAAGCGTCATTGAATGCAAGCCACTGCCTGTATTGATATTAGCAGGTCAAAAAGCGAACGAAGAGAACCGATCACTTCACCAGTGACACTGGATGCGCGGATGGTGGGGTGACGATCCAGAGTTGGCCACCCAGGCGCCCCAGTGCCGGGGCACTGGGCGTCGCCTTTGCTCGGGAGAGCCTGTCTGGGGCTGAGGATCGACATGAGAAGACGGTGGTTGAGCCTGGGATTTGGGGTGAATGGATGAGCAACTCACCTGAGACTCTCTCATGCCACGAAGCTGAGACGTGTTCTGGATTTCCAGAACCTTTGCAGAACACTGAGTCGGGGAATTTTGCAGGAATTTGGAGTACTTCTCAGGGGCCTTAGAGCATCGGACACCCTTCTGGCTACCATGTCACCAAAGCTGCAGCAAGGAAAAGCCATCGAAAACTTCGGGGAAAAAGAAGTTGATTGAACGATGTGGACGAGTTGTTGACCAGTTGAAGGCCCTGAGCAAATTCCAACCATCCCCATGCTATCCATGTGCTTGAGTTGTTTAGTTGGCTGTTGCTATAGTTGCTTTGGCCTTTGGACCTCCCCCATTTGGGTGTCCACACGATCAGACCCGGGCTGCTCCAGGTTGCCGGTGGCTGGCGGTAGCCATCCTGGCTCCCGTGGTCCGGGCAGTGCGGAAACGCAGATCCAAGCAGCGCGAGCCCGTGCGCTTTTGAAGATTGAAGCGACATGTCCCAGCATGCGCCTGGTGAAGCATTGCAAGACTGCACAGGTTCTTCACCTTGGACTCAGCCCACCTTTGGACCCAACTAGAGAGCAAACGGGTAAGAAACTGGGAGCCTATGCGCGGTCACTTTCAAGAACCTGTTGACCATGTCTATTGACGGTGGATTCATCAAACTCCCCAAGCCAGATTCCAGATGCCAAGAACTGTTCTCGTTATTTTTGGTTCCCAAGAAAAACGGTGGAACTGGTCCTCACTCAGGTGAGCTGGTCTCAGCCGATTTGGCACCCTGGCCCTCCATCGCGCCAGCACCTGGGCTGGACATGGTTTCTTCGACATCACCTGCCCGTGGTGCTGGTGTGGGTGTCCACTAACAGACTTCCACCGCCTAGTCACCAGTCCAGCTTGGGGCCGTCGAATGTGAGCTTGGGGTGTAGGTGAGAACATGGAACGCATGACATGCCGTGCACGGTGCTTGGCATTTGAAGGCAGCACACCCAGCGCAGAGCGTTCGGTCGGCCACCACCTCGGAACCTGGGCAGTACGATCAACCATCCAAGAGGTGATTAGTGAAGTACCCATCACTTCAGATACTTCAGGATCTTCTGACGGTTTTCATTGGATGGTGCCTTTTTTAAAGCATTGGATTTGCTGAGTTCTGATCTTCATCACGAGACTTTCTGATGCTCCAATTCCAGAGCTAAAGCAAAAACAAAACAACATCCAGAAGGAAAATCATTTTTTCTCCAGAGAGCGATAGCTATGAGGTTCTACCATGTTCTACCTTCAAATAAGAATGAGCTGGCTGTGCGCACTTTCGAGAGGGTGTCGGTGTTGGTGCCGGCGCTGGGTGATGCTGGGTGCGGCGCTGCCAACATCATGCATGACGCATCTTGGGCCATGCTCAACCCTATCTTTGGCGGCCAAGTCTGAGCTCCAGGGTTTCGGAGGTGCCTACCCCTCTCCCAGCGAGTCCGATGGAGGCCAAGAACAAGGTGGAGTTGGATTCATGGCTGAAGGTCCGGTGGTGCGTCCGGTGCTGCCATCGAGTCCGGTGGCGGCATGGGGGGCCTGGAGGTGATGGCAGGGATGGCTGCTTTGTACAGCGAACGACGCGCTAAATTAAGAAGATGCGATCCAACATGCCACGACCAAGTCAGGTGACTCCGCCAAAAAATGTGCACTTGAAAAGAACATTTTTCTGAAGGGCCAAAACAACTTCTGGGGACCTCAAGACAGAGATTTGAGACCCCTGAACAGGCCCTGAACCCTCCAATGTAGAGTTTGTCATCTCCATTGTAAGGGTCACAACCCTCGTATTGGCAGATGTTCTTACATGTTGCTGCGGTGACTGCCAGGATTTGAGGTGGCGAGGTATCGAAGGTGGTCACCTTTTGTATCGATCACAGGATCGTCTCTTTTGAGCACGATTCTGTGATGCATCTATTTGGAGGCTGCCATTGAAATCCAGCAATGACTAAAGAACCAACAGTCAGATTGCTGTCGCACACTGGTGAGATCTGGTGAGACACTGAGCCTTTCCTTCCCCTCCATGATCTCCACAGCGGCAGGAGAAGGAACGGCAGGCACAAAAGATCAAGGAGGGGAGATGGAAAGCAGACCGATTTGATCAGTTTGCATTATATATATATATTTATATATTTATGTATTATATAGTAGTTTAAAGGACGTATCACCAGCCCAAACTTGTAGACATTATCTATACAGGGAACGTTATTAATTATTAATCGATCCGAGAAACTTCCACACATTACTTTCGGGCATTTACAATTAACATTGTGGATGTGCATGTGGAAACTCCAACCCAAGAGTGGACAGGCAACATCGCCCAACTCTGGACTGTAGGGGTGTAGGATGGCAGGTCACATAGGACGAATGAACATCTCCGCAACGGTTGGGTGCTGGGTTAGGTCTCAAGCCGCCAGCGCTTCGCTCGAACCCAGACACTCACTCTTTGGGACTGGGTTGATCATACCTGGATACCTTGGGTGGGGACTCAGGGTCGTAGGAAGGGGGCATACCAGTCCCATGGAGTGTCAATCAGGGTCACCTTCTTGGTGCAGACCTGTGGACTGGTCCAATGGTTTGCCCCTTCAGCCTTCGATCCATCGCCGATCTTTGAGCTACGAGCTGGCACATCGGCACTCCGCCGGTTCGGAGCAAGGACTTACTCCGCCGTGCGGAGTACGAATCGCATGCGTTTGAAGTACTGTCATGTTATGTCATAGCTTGGCCGAGACCAGAAGAAGAGCTAGTCAGCTCGGGGAGAACACGGCATGTGGAGGTTTCGAACAAAAACGCCCGAAGGTCTTGGCTGGCAGGTTAGTTGTAACATGTTGTAAAGTGGATGTTGGACCGTTGGACCATCGTGTTTAGAAAGTGGTTGATGGATGACCCATCAGCCTTTGCAGAGGTTGTTGCGAATTCGTTGGCTCCGTTGTATATATAGAGGAGCACGTGGAAGATATGGCCAAGGCGCAGCGGCGCGCAGAGGACTGGAGAGCCTTTTTTTCCGGGAAACGAAGATGTTGAAATAGGTTGACGCCTGAAAACTTGCTTTGATATGCGGCGATCCAGGGTGAAGTGTGCTTGTATGGATAATCTGCGGCAGATGATAGACGGCCCACGTCCGCACCGACTCAATGTCCAAAGGTTGCCAACGTCCTAATATTTTGAGTATATCCTATTCCATTGTATTCCCTATAGTAACAGTGGATGGTTGAGTTGCAGGCCAAGCTCTAAAATAGTGAGACGATAATTATGTGAATCATCGACTCTTACAGGTAAGTTCGGACACCCCCAACCAATATCAACCCTTGGACATCCGCGACGAAGCCTTCGGAATGTGGTCCATTCATCCTGTGAGGATGTGGGGCGAAGCCTGCAGGGACAGCTAGATCTACTAGCAGAGTGAGAGGCCCAAGGCGGATCTGGCACACCTTGGAGTGTGGCTTGGCGGTGGGTGAGCCATGGTGAGTGGCTTGGCGGTGGGTGAGCCATGGTGAGCCATGCGAACACTTCTCTTTGAAATAGATCCACTAAGAGCAACCCCTAAAGAGGTGAGACAGATTAGATGATTTGACATGCCAGAAGTTCCAAAAGGGTGCCGAACTTGGAGGATTGGGGTGCGCAGTGGGGTGCCTACCAATAACACTCATTTCATTCAGGAACAATATTATATAATGCCCATTCCGATCAGGAACTGCTGGCGTAGATTTTCCGTCCGATCATCTTAGCGATGCGAGGCCAACCCCTCTCCGCACGCCCCGAGAGGAAAAAGACTTCAGAGTAATCAAGTCATTGGCCCTGAGGCTTCGCCGCCGCCCCAGAACTCCAAAGTAATCAACTCAAAAGCTAATTCCAAAACTCCAAAGTAATAAACACATTCCAAAGTAGTCATTATATAGTCCCAAACTCCAAAGCCCTGAGGCTTCGCCGCCGCTGCCGGGCCGCGGAGGCGGGCGGGCAGGGCATCGTTCTTGGTCGTTTCGGAAGGTGGGGTCGTCGTCTGCCCCGGTCTCAAAAAGTCTCACTCCAAACAGCATTGGCATTGAATACCAAAAGCATCCCAACAGATCCCAACAAATTTATATATCCCAAACCCTCCATGTATGCCATATATGCCTACATTGGGGTGGTTTGCGGGGTCAATGTCAACATAAAAATATATTGCAGTCCCATGGAGTGTCTGGGTATGCTTCCATGGGTGTTCCGGGTCTGTGGATGTGGATAGGGGATCTCATGCGGTCCTTGGGGACGCCCGGTCGACCGGGCGTTTCCGGTACTTCACCCTTCTTGGAGGACCAAGATCAAATGCCTAATATCATCATACCAGGACCCTACTCAGGACCCTGAATGGGGTGGTTAATGGACACCCCGAATCACAGCTAAGGGGCAATAAATAGACACCCCTTGGCCTTGGAGGGTCCTGGTACTATATCATACTGCATCCTTGATCAGAATAGTTGAAGTCATCCTATACTTAGAGTCTATCAATGCGGCCCAACCATCTACGGTCACCGGCAGTCAGGGGGACAGTTGCTCTGCAGTTTTGCTCAAAAAGCAGCCTGCTTACTTGAGAGCCGGCGCGCCCTTGCGTGAATCCGGCCATCATGGGGGCACAAAACTCATGTGCATCTGCTTGCACCTCAGGGGACAAGGCAGGACCGCATAAACATTGGGTCAGAATCACCGAAAAGGGGGCGACCATGACCAGGCTTTTCGTGAAGCCTCTCGGAGGGGTGATGATTTGGGTGCTATGGCTTCTTTCAACGGACGATCCCCCAAATATCACTGGCTGCCTCGAAAACGGCGATGCCGTCGATCGAAGTGACGGGAGCAGAATGGGGTTCGCACCTGAGCTGGAACCCCAGTCCCAACCAGAAACAGTTCTGGTTGCAATAGGGCGCCAGCTTGAGATCCTGTTCCATAGGAACGGCCTGGGACTGGGAAAACATCCATGGTCCATTGTGGTTGGGACATGTTGGGACTAGGTTTCCAGGCGTTCCCAAGGCATGGCTTCGGTGGAAGATGGGGAGCGAGGACCACTTGACCTCGGGGATGTTTGGTCAGGCCTTCGCATCCCAGTCTTGGAAGAGGTGAAGTGACGTCCTTGAAAGAGTTGGCTGCCTTTGAACGCCTCGCATTCTTCAACACCCCCAACATATATCCAAAGGTCCTCCTCTCCTCCACTCCCCCAGACCCGTCGAGACCCGAAGAGGACAGCCAGCTGATTTTCGACCTTCAAAGCGAGACGAGCCCCGTCTTCCAGCTCCCCTGGGACCCCCTCGACGTCCTCAGTGAGGACGCCGGTCTCGTGGTCTGCGTATGCGTTCGCCGGCGGTGGTCTCCACACACGCGGGTCTCGGAGAACCCCAATGCCATACGCGCGGGTGTGGGGTGTTGCTGGTGTGGGGTGAGTTGACTTCAAAGGGGGGGCGTGAGTCACGTGAGGAGCTAAAGATTCATGAAACAGTTTGAACTATCATGAGACCTTTGGAAAAGGCCAAAGCTGCTGGAAAAGGCCAAAGCTGCTGGAAAAGGGGTTTGAAACCCCGGACACGTCGCTGAACCCAGCCAGCGGTCGACCGTGGCCCTGACCAGTGACCCTTGCGAGGATATTTTTGATGACAAGGTGCCGTTTCGCGTCGTTGCGCGCTGTGCTCCAGACACGTTGCTTTGCCCAAAATTCGGTGCTAAGCCTTGGTCATCAGCAAAGACAAGGGTGTTGTGGACAATTCCTCGCGAATCTAGAAGGTGTGTTGTGTTTTCTTTTTTTGTTGCAGGTTCCTGATCAGCAAATCCAAAGGGTTTGCACCGATGTTGATGGCTTTAGGGTCTTGGAATCGAGAAGCGCTGATAAGATAAGGCAACGATCTTTTGAGGCGTTCAATCACCTGCGCAGCACGAGCACAGAATGTTTTGGTCGACATCCAGAATCTATTAGACGGGTTTGAAAGCTTACCACCCCTCAGTTTTGCAGTTGAAAGCGTTGACACCCTTGCCATCCTAGTCATAGTCCTAGTCTTTGGATGTGTTTTCTTCGATACTATAGTGAGTTGAGAGTAGATGGCACAATCCCCAAGTTGGGTGGTTTAATCCCGAGTACCTATTAAAAAAAGCCTCCCCAATTAAAACAACACCACGTCCGAAACCCTAAATTTGGTTTATCACGAAAGCTAGCACCAGCTAGCTGGAGTTGTCCTTGCTTTAGCAAGTGAGGGGCTGGAATCCTCGGGATCGCCGCATCACGTGAAAACTTCATATGTAGGGGGGGGCCCCCCCCCC